GCAGGAAACCCTGGTGCAGGGTCAGGCCAGGCAAGCATGGCCCAGCACGCCAGGGGCAGGGGCAAGAAACCCTGGTGCAGGTTCAGGCCAGAAGAGCAAAAGCAGGGAGTATAAGGACAGCGCATAACCTTGCCCCAGTGAGGTAGAGAGGTGCCAGGGAAGTCACCTGACATGAAACTCAGCTCTCTACACATCTGCACAACTACCTAAGTACATGTGAACACGTGCATGGATAACATGCGTGTATACATATATTTTAAAAATTGATTCAAAAAAGCTGTAATTTGAGAGGTTATTAGGATAATTAACCCTCTTTCTAAGATAGCTGAGGTTTCGTGATAAATTGAGCCTGAAAATATCCATTGCTCTCCTATTCAAATAAATGTTATGCATGGTTCTTAGTTTGTTGTTTCCACTAATTCAGTGCTTTCAAAAGTCATCTTCAAGAAAAGTGCCCTTCTTTCAAACTTAAGAAAATATTTATTTGGTAAAAACTGTTAGTCATTCAAGGCATTCCACCCTTTCAACTGAAATGTTGCTTTGTTGAAGGTCTACCATCTGGGAAATGTGAGGTGTGGTGCATACTTTTATCTTGTGTTTTAAATGAAGTCCAATAATGACAAATGCCACTAGCCACTTTTGTAGTAATGCCAAGCAATAAGACTCTCCAGGTATGAGTTTATGCCGAAACCTTAAGGCCCTAAGAGAATCAACTTTCTAGGAGTGATGTGGTAATTGAAATTGTTGAGCACAGGGAAAGGGAGGAACGGAGGGCATTGTTCCATGGTTTCAGATTCTGTCAACTCTGTTTAATTTTTGCAAATAATACAATTAGTGAAGCAGTTAATTTCTTCTGATCTGTTCTATCAGCTGTGTTGTGTTTTCTGTGAATTGAATTCAACACAAAGGCTGCCATACTATCTTTCTTGGGTGACCTACACCAACTGTTTTTAGTTATAAGAATTAACCTTGTAAATGTTTCCTGTAGAATTTTCTAAACAGTCTTTGTTGCAGTCACAACTGTTTAAAAAAAAACTGTCAATTCCATGGTACTTCAGGGTTATTGAAGAGTCACCGATACCTTCTAGAAACCGTCTCCAAAAAATACTTCTGGAGTTCATGATTCCGTTTTTCTTTCTCCTCCTCCTTGAGATAGAAGTGGTTTCTGTCCTTCAATTATTTTCAGGTATCATTTGTTTATCTCTAAAGCCTTAAGTTACCCAGAGCATTTTGTCTGCAATGTGTGGCTAATCATGAGCTCCCTGCAGTGTGTTCTCACCACAAATGAGCATGAATGAGAACAAATAGATGGCTAGGAAGCACAGGTCTTATTTTGGCAGTTATCTCTGCTGCTATACAGAGTAGAAAGTAACTTTACTTTCCCACATCACATGATGTTCATGTTACTAGATCTAAGATAAGCACATGGTATTTATAATCTAAAATTTGACAAACAGGAATATCTTAGTGTTGTGTTCTTCGAGAGTGTATGAATACAAGAACTGTGGCTAAAGAGTTCTTCTTGTTGGGATTATGTTGATATCTGTAGTGGATCCTGTAGCTTCTTCTTTCTTAGTTTCATTAGAATCAAATTACTTTTTATTTTAATATAACTATCAAACTGTAGCTTCCCTAGATTTAAAAAAGAGAGAGTATTAGACCACTAGATCCTATCTAAAAACCCCATCTGTGACTTTATATGTATATGTATAAATATAAAAATTATTACTCTTCAATTCTCACCAAAGGAACAAACTGTTATGTAAATTTTAATTTAAGTATGTTAACAAAAATTATTCACATGTATTTAATGTTATAATCCATCTTTACTCATGCCCCCTCCATCTTGCTAAGTTAAGAATGAGACTTGTGTTGCTCTTGTTACATTGTTAAAATAGAGAGGAATGATGTTAGCAATGGAAACAACAAGGAATGAATGGATATGGGTAAACGGACTACTGGTCTCCAGGGAAGAGCAGCATATAATAACACTAAACTGTACAGGGGAAATCAAGTAGAAGATATCCATGGACTTGTTTGTTGATGAAATCCTTGGACCCAGGCTATAGCCTTAGCCTCTAAATTATAGATGACACTATCTTATTATTACTTTATTTTTTCTTAACTTTTAAAAGATAATTTTATTCTATAAATGATTTTCTGCTGGCTTTGATTCTAAATTCAACTTTTTAAGCTAAGGGCATAGACAAATGCTGTGCCTTTTCTTTATTTCAAGATAAAATAACACATGGCTTCTATAAGACAGTTAATTTGTTGGGGGGGCTTTACTGAAAGTTACATAAAGGTTATCTTTTGTCCTAAAATTCATTTTAGTCAATTGAATAAAATATTAAGTTATATGTTAATATATTTTAATAGGTGAATACTAAATACAAAGTAAAGACAAGTTTGGGAACAAACAGACCGTAGAGCCCATTGTGATGACAGATTGCATTGTATATTATAGTGTTTGAGGACTCAAATATATCATAGATACCATTCATATATAAAACCAAACTGGTATTTCATTTTTTAAGAGATAACTATTATTTAAAAAGTAAGTATTATCTTGATTTTTCTTTTGAATTGTTGACTGAGTTTGGTAGGGCATATCAGAATATTATAGTTGACTCTAATGTGAAAAAATAAACACCGAATTTTCCAGTGGTATGAATGTAAAATACTTGGACATAGTGTATATATAGTGTAACATCTGTATATTTAATCATAAAGGCAGATAATCGAAAACATTGTAAAATTAAGTTCTTCAATTCTTGTTAAATATGAAATATTTGTATCTTGTAAATAAAGATATCCTTAAATTGGTTCTGGAGCCTTGGCTGTTAATTCTTCTGGGAATGTGTGTGTTTAATGTGCATGATTTTGACTTTCTGATCAGAAAAAAAAAAGGTTATTCCAAAAGGATATTATACTTCCAGTCTCCAGGCATCAACAACCTAAAGAAAATTCTAAGAAACTTTCAAATGTGACATCACGAGTAAAACTTTTCCAGAAATCCCATTTCATAGAAGTTTATCAGCTTTTTTTAGGCTGAAAAGAACCAAGTCACAGTTCAGCAAACACTATTGGCAAAAGCAATTGACCTCAGCCTAAGAAAGCAATACAGTAAACGCAGTTCTTGGCTCATCAGCATGACTTGTTTGAATTCAGGTTTTTTCTGGGTGGAGTTGTGGAGAGAGCACCAGTGTGTGATAATTAAGGGCTTCTCAAACTTTGCGCAGGACACAGTGTTACAATGAAGACTGTCTTAGCAGGCCCATGGCAGAGTTTTAGCTGTCCTCCATCAGGCTGCTGCTTCTCAGAAAATCGAGAGTAAGCAGCTTGTAGCAGAAAGGGCTTTGTGAGGAAAGGGAGGGCTGGCAGGAAACCCTTGGTTCTGTCTTTTACTGTTGTGACTTCCGACATAAACTCTTTCTTGAAGAATGGTGTGACGCAGATGTCACAAAATGTATTACCTGTCCAAACGAGGCATTGGGTCCTCCTTGCTAATATTAGAGATCATTTAGTTAAGGCAAAGGTTTGCAGACTGTGACAGTATGGTAACCTGGCCACCATTTAAATGGACCGATTGATGCCTTAGATCCACCCTCAAGTCCCTAAGCTCCTGGGTGGGGCTCTAGATAGCAGTGGTTTACAAATTTCTTGGATGGGAAGACATTTCAAGATGCAGCCAGAATAGGGGCTTTCGGAATAGCATTCCAGGAGCACAGGTGGAGACTATAGAAGAGAACGTTGGAATGATTCGGCAGCCCAAGAGTGAACAAAATCTTTGCCGAATGCCTGATGAGAGAATAATATTCAGAATGTTTAAGGAATTAAAAGATGTCCTCCACTCCTCTCGCCCA